GCCCATACCAGATCGCAGGGACACCGTGCGATTGCTGTGCGGGAAACACACAAGATTCGCTGCGTTTCCTGCATCGCGTTAGTGTGAACCAAGTCTTGAGATCTGCTTGTCAGTGACTAGGCTGTTGATGGCTTTCAGATCAAGAAAAGCTTCAATGCTTCCAAAAACCAGGAAGGCTGCACTTTCCTGTGCGGGGGGGGGGGGGCACACATACAGACTTTTTCTAAGCTTTTCTGGAATGGAGAAGCAGCTGGGAATTAGAGAAGTAGCGCACTGTTCTATCTAGCATTTACTAAGGCCTGCCATACATGGGACGAAATTCGACCAATTTTTTTTTTTTGTCCGAAAATCGGACCTAAGAATAATTGGCCAATTTTCGCTCTGATAGTGGGTCAATGGAACCGCTGGTTTTCGTGGTTCCTCCCCTTTTCGGTGATCGGGCATGTTGGAAAATTCGTGAAAAACTACCGATTTTCGACTCAATGATGGTCAAATCGTACAATAAAGATTTTGCGCGTGAGCCGTGACCTGGAAGGAACAGAAGTTTCGCCTTTTATATGGGGTGAACTTTATGACTTGGTTGGCCAATTTTCAAAATAAATAATGGCACCATCGGATTGCCTAGCGAACGATGTTTCTGATTTTCGGACGAGAAATCGTTCGGAATTCGAACCATGTATGGCCTGAATAAGTATTGTTCTGTGTGTTGATACCTGACCAGATGACTTCCAGACACTGAAGGCGCCAAGTGAGAGAATACAAATGGCAGAAACTATCTTTCACACAGGTTTCCCACAAATGTGTGAATCCAGGGTGAAAGACATGTGAACCTTGCGTGACGCTAAGCCCTCCTGCACACGGGACGTTCTGATAACGCTGGTAATGTTAGCTGTGTAAAGTCACTTTAAAAACTTGAGTTTTTCAGCTTTTTTTGGGCGTTTTTGCATTCGCGTTTAGCGGCGTTTTCCCGCGTTTGCATTTTTTTTGTTGTTTTTTTTTTTTTTTTTTTTATTTAACAAAAAAAGTGGGGTTTTTTTGGTCAAAGTCAAAAAATGCCAGTTTGCGGCATTCTTCAGCATTAGACCATTTTTACATCTAAAAAAAACTCCTCTAGAATCCCACTAGTCCTGGGTTTTTTTTTTTTCCAGCCAAAAAATGCTGATTCCAGTCTGTGTGTGCATGGACACATAGGATAACATGCTGGGGGGTTTACTGACTGGAGAACAAAACATCAAAAGCAAAAACTAGCTGCTGTAAAAACATCCAGTGTTCATGAGGACTTAGGCTCCATGTACACGGGACGTTTGGAAAACCCTTCTGAACGATGGAAACTGACTGCTGGAAAACGTAGGTTAAAAAACATCTGTTTAGCCGCGTTTGCATACCGCGTTTGTGCGTTTATGCGCGTTTGCGTTTAGAAGCGTTTTTAAAGATAACCCCAGGAGACCTTCCAGAATGCACTGAAAAACAGTAAAAAATTTACTATTTCAGACATTTTGAGAGAAATAGAGAGAGCAGAAGCAGAGAGAGCAGTATTTGTTGAGAATAGCTGTCTTTTTTTTTTTGTGGTGTTTGGATGTGTTCTAGCTCATTTCTGTGCAGAAATTATTGCAGCGGTGTCTAACATATTTTCTTTCATGCGAAACCTCAAAGCATAGTGTACCAGGTCCATTTGAGTAACGAAAAATGAAAAAAGGCTCTGAAACGCATCTGGAAATGGAAGAGTTAAACAAATTTTCCAAACGCTTATAAACGCAGTTAGCCGCGTTTACAAGAGTTTGGCGCTTGAAGCGCTGATAAAATCTACTCCTGAACGCAAGTTTGGTGCGTTTAAAAAAAAAAAAAAAAAAACTACTGTAACGTCAACTGCCTGTAAACAATAGTGTACATGGACACAGGAAAACATTAGGGTGAGTTCAGGGGCTGCTGAAAAAAAATGCAGAAAAGCTCCTAAACGTGAGTTTATCAGTTGCAGTGTCCATGGAGCCTAAGGGTGTTTCCAAAACATCTTTTACCACTAGAGGGCGCCATTTGTTTATTTTTGTCTGACAGCCATTGATGGGGTGAGAAGGGGAATCCATTATTTTACTGAACATTTTTAATTCGATCTGCAGAATTATTGTAGTGACCTGTAGTCACTTCATGGCTATGTATTAACTTTTTTAAAACGATGTGGATTGTCTAAGGTTGTACAATTGTTCTCCTTTTGGTTGTTTTCAGTTTCTGTGACACAAGACTGGCTTAGAGATCATTCTCAATAGAGGTTTGCAAGGATCTGATACTTTGACCTACACCCATCCCCCACCTGCAGCGTACGTTTGAACCCGCTTGTACCTGCATCCTAACCAGCAGAATTTGTTGCTGCAGTCTACAATGACATTTTCTTTTACAATTACCCGGCCCTGAGCCAAACATAGCAGAAAGTATATTCATTCTTGTCTGGGGCAATGTTATTATTTCCCTTTTTATCATTCACAATTTTTTAAAGCTGAACTCTGCCTTTTAACAAGAAAATAGAAACATTCCGATTAGGACAGCAAAAAATAAGTAGCAGCTTCTGTCGCAATATTCGCCTTTTAGTCTGGAACGGTCCCCTGTAGTACTACTTTTCTACCACTAGATGTCCCCAGTCTTCAGGCTGAATGAAGGCCGGCATGGTTTAACCCACTTCTGAGGCCAGGCTGTCATGGACACATCCCCTGGGGAGCCAAGATTATGCAGCCTGGGTTTGAAGTACTGCAGCACAGAACATTGCTCACATATCATTGCGAGAATCATTCTTTGCTGTACTAAGGACCACCTGTTGCCACCAGACAAGAAGAGGATTGATCCATGGTGTCATCAGTCAGGCCAGAATCATCTAAAAAAATCTTAGAAAAAAGGTCTGCAGGCCGAACAGCCATGACTTTATCATCAATAGGTCCACCTTTTGCTGCCGAAACAGCCCCGACCCTTCGAGGCATGGATCCACTAGACCTCTGAAGGTATGCTGTGGTCTCTGACGACAAGCCTTCAGCAGATCCTTTAGTCCTGTAAGTTGTGAGGTGGAAAATCCATGATATGTTTTTTCAGGACATCCCACAGATGCTCTATTGGATGAGAATCTGGAGGCCAAGTGAACACCTCAAACGCATTTCTGTTTTCCTCAAACCTTTTTTGCAGTGTGGCAGGGCACACCATCCTGCTGAAAAAGGCTACTGCCATTGGGGAATACCATTTCCAGGAGGGGGCTATTTGGTAACCAACAATGTTTATGTAGGTGGTGCATATCAAGTAACATCCACATGAATGGCAGGACCCAAAGGTTCCCAACAGAACCTTGTCCATAGCGTCTCACTGCCTCTGTTGGCTTGCCTTCTTCCCATACTACATCCTGGTGCCTTCTCTTCCCCAGGTAAGCGATGTGCATTCATACAGACATCCACATGATGCAAAGGATTCATCAGACCAGGTCACCTGCTTCCATTGGTCCTGTTCTGATGCTCATATGCCCATTATAGGCACTTTTGGCTGTGGACATGGGCCAGCATGGGCACCCTGACCGGTCTGTGGCTACGCAGTCACATATACAGCAAACTGTGATGCTCATATTTCTGCATTCAAGACATCATCTTCAAGGACAATATGTCCACTGGCTGCCTACCCAATTTCGGGTGCCATTGTAATGAGATAATAATTATTATTATTGTTATTATTATACAGGATTTATATAGCGCCAACAGTTTGCTCAGCACTTTACAATATAAAGAGAGACAATACAGCAACAATACAAGAGGGATAGGAGGGCCCTGCTCCTTGGAGCTTACAATCTAGGAGATAATCAATGTTATCTACTTTACCTGTCAGTGGTCATAATGTTATGGCTGATCAGAATTATGTAAAGCAAAACCTCAGCTTTAAGAAAAATATTGGCTCTCAGAAGAAACTTGATAGTAGACCAGTGAGATCTCATTGTAAAAACAGATGCTGACATGGAAAACTGGCCAGGTATTGGTCACATAGTCATCTGAACATCCCAATACTAACTGATGAAGAGAACCAGTCACTATAAAATGAGAGTACACTTTGTTCAACAGTACCAAGCCCTGATGAAGGGGACCCTGTTACATAGTTACATAGTTAGTCTGGCTGAAAAATGACAAAAGTCATTCCAGTTCAACCATTTAAAAAAAAAAAAAAAAAAGTTATAATCCTATATCCACAGTTGATCCAGAGGAAGGCAAAAAAAACCCCCAGCAAAGCATGATCCAGTTTGCTCCTGCTGGGAAAAAAAATTCATTACTGATCCCCCTGAGAGGCAATCTGATATTCCCTGGATCAACCTTACCTATAAATGTTAGTATCCAGTCATACTCTGTGTATCTAAGAAAGAATCCAGGACTTTTTTAAAACAATCCACTGAGCTGGCCAGAACCAACTCTTGAGGGAGTCTATTCCACATTTTCACAGCTCTCACTGTGAAGAAACCTTTCCGTGTTTGGAGATTAAACTTCTTTTCCTCCAGACGTAAAGAATGCCCCCTTGTCCTCTGTGATGACCTCAGGGTGAATAGCTCTACACCGAGTTCTCTATATGAACCACTGATGTATTTATACATGTTGATCATATCCCCCCTTAATCTCCTCTTCTCAAGAGAGAATATATTGATCTCCTTCATTCCTCTTATCAGTTTGGTTGCCCTTCTCTGCACTTTCTCCAGTTCCCCAATGTTCTTTTTGTGAATTGGTGCCCATTGGTGAATTGATGTTGGCTTTTTATGATATGAGTCTGAATAAAATGAAATCTGGACTCTATATTCTCTGCTTTAGACACGTTGATCCTCGCACACCCAGACAAAAGAAGAAAAGGCTGAAGTTCTACATCATCATTACAAAAGTTATTTTGTGTTCCTGGATATATTTAAAAGACCAACATGTCTTAAAGTACAATTAACAAATGCGTATAACTGTCTGAATAATTATTTTATATTTGTTTATTTCATTGTATGTTTTTTCCCACAGATCAAACCCTGGGCAGAACTGCCATGCCCCATAAAAACATACTTTTGCTTAGCCATCATCTCCCTTCTTTGTGTGCTCGGCTTAACGATCTCCAACCTTGTGCAACAGAGTAATGAAGATTCCACCGTGTCCCTCATACAGCTGATCGGAGTTGGTAAGTGGATGACAGTTTTCATTGCTACCCTAGTCATCCGGATCCTTCAATTCCAATCTGGTTTTAAGTGAAAACAGCCATTTAACCACTTCAGTACTGGGCACTTATACCCCCTTCCTGCCCAGGCCAATTTTCAGCTTTCAGCGCTGTTGCACTTTGACAATTGTGTGGTCATGCAACATTGTACCCATATGACATTTTTATCATTTTTTTCACACAAATAAAGCTTTCTTTTGGTGGTATTTAATCACCACTGAATTTTTTATTTTTTGCTAAAAACTCCTGAAACTTTTGAGAAAAAAAAAAAAAACACTTTTCTTGTTTCGGTTATAACATTTTGCAAATAAATAACATTTCTTCATAAATTTATGTCAAAATGTATTCTGCTACATTTCTTTGGTAAAAATAATAATAAATGAATTTGTATTTTTTTTTCTATTTTTTTTTTTACATTTTTTCTTTTGTTTTACTATTACTATTTTATTTTTCAGCACACTGTGACCAAAACAATACAATGTTACCATAATGACATTGAACTACTCTGGGCAAGTGATCAGGATTTATTTATTTTTTTTTTTTTTTTTAACACATTATGATTGCTAATACCAATGTATTTAATTGATATTTGCAATCATTGTTACTGAATGAAACTGATTCATTCAGTCTTTTTTGATTAGCTGTGATTGGACAAAGCTGATCACATCATACAGATGTGCTGTGATTGGCCCTGTCTGTATCATGTGACTGCCTTGACCAATCACAGCTAACAACATAATTGTATACAATGGATGGCATGACAGGAAGCCATCCATTGCATACAATTGACATGTGATCTGCTGTGATTGGTCACATGACACTGGCAACGGGCTGATGTAGTGATGTGTCATCGGCAGTGTCCCATGACACAGCCGGGGACAGGCTGCGCAGCCCTGCGTTCGCGTGAGCGGCTCATTTTGACAGGACGTCATATGACACCCAGTCACAACGAGGATTGTCCTGCCCAGCCGTCAATCTGCTATAGGCCAGGCAGGAACGGGTTAAACAAAAATGTATAATCTATATGCTACCAAATGAAAATGATGTTGAGCTTTGACAGCTCATATACATCAGTACTGTGAATATAGTAAACATATATTGGAGTTCCTGGGACAGTATTTCCTGGGAGCGCGCATTACCGCGATCCGGTGCCCACAGTGAAAGACCGATTGTCGGACGGGACCTCTGTACGAGGTCCCGATCATGTGATCACTGATTGGCCAATCAGTGATCACATGCAAAGTAGTAAGCAAGATGTCACTTGTGACATCATTGCTTACTACTTGTGAAATCTGTGAATGATCACAGAGGTCACATGGTACAAGGCTATTCACAACAGCCTTGTACCATGTGGCAAGCTGTGACCAATCACAGCTCACTCAGTACTTCTCAATGACTGCAAGAATGCAGACAGAGAGAAAGAGAAATGATTGCTTTTACATCCTATATAGTTGTAAAAGCAATCAGTGTAAAAATAAAAAAAAAAAATCTTCATCACCCCCCACAAGTAGTACAGTGTCACCATGGTGACACTGTACTGCTAGGGTGACAGTATGTAAAAAAAAAATAACAATAAAAAATAATATGAAAATGTAAAAAAAATTTTTTTTTAAATTTTATAATATTTGGTTATAAACTAATTTTGATTTTTTTTTTTTTTTTTTTTTTACCAAAAAGATAACGGAATAAATTTTGGCCAAGATTTATGATGAAATATTATTTATTTGCAAAATTTTAGTCAAACTTTTTGGACTTTTCATTTACATAGCAAAAAAAATAAAAAACCCAGTGATGAATAAATACCACCAAAATAAAGCTTTATCTGTCTCAAAAAAATGGTAAAAAATTCATTTGGGTACATTTGGGTACAGTGTTGCATGACCGTGCAATTGTCATTCAAAGTGTGATAGCACTGAAAGCTGAAAATTGCCCTGGTCAGGAAGGGGGTAAAAGTGTCCAGTCTGGAAGTGGTTAATGTGTGGATAGTTAAAGACATTGTTTTCAGTTGATCCTGTTCTCTGCTCCACTCTATGTTCAGAGAAATGATTTGAAGCTGAACTCCGGGCAGATTTAACAACACAAATTGAGTCAGCTCTGTATTATTTAAAGTACAGCTCTGAGAAACTTGAAATATCTCCCTTGCAGTGGGGCTGGGCCTGCACTTCAAGTGTTAGGTTTAGGTCTAGGGGGACATAGAAAAGAAGATTTACTTACCTGATCCTCCAGTGCTGCTGACATCATCAAGAAGACCAATGCAGGGTCCATAGGCCTGCATTGGATGTGATGATGTCGAAGGATAGTCCACCGATGGAGAATGGGGGAGCATCCATCTCCCAGGGGAGTTGAGAATCAAGTAAGTTAAAAAAAATGTACTGTACACTAGAATAAATGAGTAGTTGACCTCTGCAGCCCGAGCGTAGCTCCACTGCAAGGCGGAACGTTCACATTTCCTAGAGTTGTACTTTAAGCTTCTTGCATTATCTGTACAGCAGAGCTCAAACTGATTTGCTGATTGTGCTGCTTCTCCCTCTTCCAGATGTACTGCAGTGCCTATATGTGAACAAGAGACATTTTGATAAGAGAGCAGAATGATGAGTGCATCAGTGTGCTGCTTCTCCTTTCATTGTCTGCTCACAGTCTGTGGGAGGAGCAAGACCTGTAAGTGTTACTTAACCCCTTGCCCTCCAGAGGATTTACACCCCTTCCTGACAGGCCATTTTGTGCGATATGGCGCTGCATTACTTTAACTGTCAATTGCGCGGTCATGCAACGCTGCACCCAAATGAAATTTATGTCCTTTTTTTTTTCCCCACAAATAGAGCTTTCTCTTGGTGGCATTTGATTACCTGTGCGTTTTTTTTATTTTTTGCGCCATAAACAAGAAAAGACTGACAATTTTGAAAAAAAAAAACAATATTTTTGACTTTTTGCTATTAAACATGTCCAGTTAAAAAAAAAATGTTATAAAGTCAAAATTTAGGCCAAAATGTATTCTGCTAAAAAAAAATCCCAATATGTGTAAATTGGTTTATGTTAGTTATAGCATCTACAAATGGTAGTATATATAGTGCAAATTTTTTTTCCACTAGTAATGGCGGTGATCAGCGACTTATAGCGGGACTGCGACGGGCATTCTGACATTGGGGGGGGGGGGGGGGGGACTAATTAACTGCCACGGACATCCCCAGTGATACTAATACAGTGATCAGTGCTAATAAAAAGCACTGACACTGTACTAATGGCACTGGGCAGGAAGGGGTTAACATCTGGGGCAATCAAAGGGTTAACTGTGTGCTGTTTTATTATGTAGACAAGCTTTGTATTTCTCTGCTGTGCAGAGCAATACAAAGCAGCCTGTTCGTGCTGACAGGGAAGAGACCTGTATTGTTTACATACAGACCTCTCTCCTGTCAGCTCCGCCGATGATCACCAATTGTTGGCCGGGACCTGGTGATTGACATGCCGAGGAGGCACGGGTAGGGAGCGCGCGCCGCTACCCGGAAATACAACATCATGTGTGTATATATACGTGATTTTGCGCATCCCTGCAGTACTTCTGCTATAGGGCAGTCGGGAATCGGTTAACTACAGCAGAGAAAAATCAGGTCATCTGCCATTCCGGGCATGGTTGTGCTCCATAGCAGAGCTGTGTAAATCTCAGAACTGCATGGGCAGAAATACAAATCTTTTGGCAGGTAAAACAGCTCCCATGTATGTGTATCCAGCTGTTTGCCCAGAGTTCAGCTTTAAACTGCTTGTAAAATGCATTGAGACATATCCTCAAGTGTTTTATATGCATCATGTTACTTCTGATCTCATGGCTAGGGAGGTAATAGAAAAGGAAATTGCAGAAGCGGCTGAGTACAATTGCATACAGAATGTGTGGAAAATATATAGAAATGCATGTAAAATGGATGTGCTATTTGGAATCCCTGTGTGTGTACTGTTCGCTGCAGAGTTATGACAGGATACATTAGGAAACACATTTCCCTCGTTTGTCTTTGTACGAAAGTAACTTACACATTTGTGGTTATTGCACCATCTCTGCTTCCATATGAATACGCCTTCATTTGTTTCCTCTTTTCGAAGTAAACAGACTGTCACATTTCTAGATTGCTGAGGAAATCCTGTTTGGGGGAATAAAAAGATACATGTGATTTATCCATACACCCATACAAATTCAACAATTTCAGCCAAAATGTGTCTTTGTATCAAGTACAGTTGATGGAAAAGTGAAGCTGGCCATACTTGGATCGACAATCGATTTCTGAAATGGCCGAATTTGGATTCGTTTATGGGCACCACGGTTGTACAGAAGTCGGTCTACCGATTGACTTCTGTACAAGCAGCCTGTCTGTTTGTTTTTTTTTGTTTTTTTTTTTTTCAAACAATCAGTGCTGTTGGTTATAGCCGGCAGCACTGATCATTGTGTTCTGACAGCAAGGAAGTCTCCATGCCGTGAGAACACAATAGCGCAGCGGGAGTGATTTCCTCATCCACCTCAAATGTGTGAATGGGAGAATTGGCACTTTTTTTTTTTTTCTTTTTTCAACCCACTGTAACCTAAATAAAGAGTACAATATATGACCTGCCATAAGGCTGATCTCCCCTTCGCCATCCTGTGACATGCCTTAAAATGGTCCATTGAAATCAACGTTTCCTCCTGTGATCTGATATCAAGCCATTACCTTAACCTGGCCATACACAGGCCAAAATTCGGCTTTGTCAGCAGGGACCGGTAGAATTTCAACACATGTATGGTCACCCTGTTGTACATAAGTCTATCAGTTGACTTCCATACAACCACCTTGTGTTTTTTTTTTTTCTTTTTTTTTCTGACCGACCAGTGCCACCAGCTATAATTGAACACTAATCTGATGGTGGGGAAGACTCCCTGTCGTGAGAACATAATAGCTCAGCTGGAATGATATCCCCATCCACCCCAAATTTGTGAATGGAGGAATAGACACCTTTTTTTTTATTCATTCAATCCACTAGTTTAACAAAAAAAATGTATAATGTATGGGCTGCCTTAGTTGAAAACAAGCTCCAGGCCCCTCGTTTTGTTACACAGTTGCCACTGCTTTCTCCCTTCTGTGACCAGTCCTGACACAGCCCCTTGTATTCTTCAGTTGTGCAAGACTGATGAGCTGTAATTATGTAGATGGGTCAATATTCAGATCTCTCTGTCTCTACCTGTGACAGCAGAGAAAAGAAACATATTTTAGTGTCCAAAAACATCACTACAGTCCCAAAGGTTGAGGGGATATGTAGTTATGTATGACACATTGATGCTTCATAGGAAGTGATGCGTGTCCCCCATGGGCGTATCTGCTGTGAGGCAAACCAGGCGTTTGCCTAGGGCAGCATTTTTCAGGGGAAGGGCGTCGCCCCCAGGCAGAAGGGACCAGGGCTAGGCAGGGCGGGAGAGCTCGAGCGGAAGGCAGAGTTTAGGCAGGGGGGGTCGGAACTGGCAGTTCTCAAGCAGGGGGAGGGGAGGCAGGGGGAGGCGGGCTCGGCAGTTCTTCTCGAGGGGGCAGGGGGAGGCGGGCTCGGCAGTTCTCGAGCAGGGGGAGGCGGGCTCGGCAGTGCTCGAGCAGGGGGAGGCGGGGGCTCGGCAGTTCTCGAGCAGGGGGAGGCGGGCTCGCGGTGCTCGAGCAGGGGGAGGCGGGCTCGGCAGTGCTCGAGCAGGGGAGGCGGGCTCGCAGTGCTCGAGCAAGGGGAGGCGGGCTCGGCAGTGCTCGAGCAAGGGGAGGCGGGCTCGGCAGTGCTGGAGCAAGGGGAGGCGGGCTCGGCTCGGCAGTGCTGGAGCAAGGGGAGGCGGGCTCGGCAGTGCTCGAGCAAGGGGAGGCGGGCTCGGCAGTGCTGGAGCAAGGGGAGGCGGGGCTCGGCAGTGCTGGAGCAAGGGGAGGCGGGCTCGGCAGTGTTCGAGCAAGGGGAGGCGGGCTCGACAGTGCTCGAGCAAGGGGAGGCGGGCTCGGCAGTGTTCGAGCAAGGGGAGGCGGGCTCGGCAGTGCTCGAGCAAGGGGAGGCGGGCTCGGCAGGGCTCGAGCAAGGGGAGGCGGGCTCGGCAGTGCTCGAGCAAGGGGAGGCGGGGGCTCGGCAGTGCTCGAGCAAGGGGAGGCGGGCTCGGCAGTGCTCGAGCAAGGGGAGGCGGGCTCGGCAGTGCTCGAGCAAGGGGAGGCGGGCTCGGCAGTGCTCGAGCAAGGGGAGGCGGGCTCGGCAGTGCTCGAGCAAGGGGAGGCGGGCTCGGGCAGGCTCTGCAGTGCTCTGACGGGGGAGGCGGGCTCGGCAGTGCTCGGGCGGGGGGGGAGGTGGGCGGGGAAGGTGGGCT